AACACTCAGAAATTGATGGCATTTTTATACACCAATAATGAACTATCAGAAAGAGAAACTAAAAAAAAATCCCATTTACCACTGCAACAAAAAAATTAAGATAGTTAAGAATAAACTTACCCAAGGAAGTAAAAGACCTGTACTCTGAAAACTACAAGACATTGCCAAAAAAGATAAAGGAAGATATAAAAAAAGTGGAAGAATATACCATGTTCATGGATTAGAAGAATTAACATCATTAAAATGTCTATACTACCCAAAGCAATCTATAAATTCAATGCAATCCCTATTAAAATACCAATGGCATATTTCACATATCTAGAACAAACACTTCAAAAATTTGTATGGAACTAAAAAAGACCTCAAATAGACATGGCAATCTTGAGAAAGAAGAACAAAGTTGGAGGGATAACAATACCAGATATCAAGTTACACTACAAAGCCACTGTAATCAAAACAGCCTGGTACTGGCATAAGAACAGACATATAGATCAGTGGAATAGAATAGAAAACCCAGAAATCGACCCAAGCCATTATGTTCAATTAATATTTGACAAAGGAGGCAAGGACATACACTGGAGTAAAGACAGTTTCTTCAATAAATGGTGATGGGAAAATTGGACAGGTGCATGCAACAAAAATGAAACTAGACCACCAACTTACACCATACACAAAAATAAACTCAAAATGGATAAAAGACTTAAATGTAAGATGTGAAACCATAAAAATCCTAGAAGAAAACGTAGATAGCAAAATCTCAGGCATCCCTCGTAGCAATATGTTTCCTGATACATCTCCTAGGGCAAGAGAAACAAAAGAGAAAATAAACAAATGGGACTACATCAAAATAAAAAGCTTCTGCACAGCAAAAGAAACCATCAACAAAACCATAAGGGAGCCCTCTGTATGGGAGAACATATTTGCCAATGATACATCTGATAAAGGGTTAATATACAAAATATATAAAGAACTTTTACAACTTAACAAAAGGAAGACAAACAATCCAATTAAAAAATGGGCAAAGGACATAAATAGACACTTCTCCAAAGAGGACATACAGCTGGCCAAGAGACACATGAAAAAATGCTCAAAGCCACTAATTATCAGGGAGATGCAAATTAAAACTCACTCCTGTCAAAATGGCTATCATCAACAAATCAGCAAACAACAAGTGCTGACCAGGATGTGGAGAAAAGGGAACCCTAGTACACTGCTGGTGGGAATGCAGACTGGTGTAGCCACTACGAAAAAGTGTGGAGTTTCCTCAAAAAATTAAAAATGGAACTGCCATTTGACCCAGTGATCCCACTTCTAGGAATATACCCTAAGAAACCTGAAATATCAATCAGAAAGAACTTATGCTCCCCTATGTTCATAGCAGTGCAATTTACAATAGCTAAGATCTGGAAACAGCCCAAGTGCCCATCAGTAGACGAGTAGATAGAAAAGCTGTGGGACATTTATACCATGGAATACTGTGCAGCTATAAAAAAAGAAGGATCTCTTACACTTTGGGACAGCATGGATGGAAATGGAGAATATTATGCTGAGCAAAATAAGCCAGTCAGAGAAAGACAAGTACCACATGATCTCACTTATTTGTGGAATATAATGAACAAACTAAACTGATGAAAAAAAATTAAGATGGCAAATTTTATTTTGTATGTTTTTTACCATAAGTAAAAATAACAATAACAGTGACAGTGGCACCAGCAACAAGAAAACAGGTGGGAGTCCGCACAGACAGTCCAGTCATGTGGACAGTTTGAGACCCTCCCACTAGTCCTCTCTGGGGACAGAACAGTACTGATAACTGTGTGCAAGGCTCAGGTTCCCTGATGTCACATGAGGTACCTTCTTTCTGTGTCCAGAGAAGGCTGCTCGTGCTCTGGCCAGCCCCAAGATGCCAGTTCCCTAGGGTCCCCCAGGGTCCCATTGCTCCCCTGGAAGTAGCACATTCCAGCTCTCAGTCACTGCCTATGAATGCTGCTAATTCCCAAACCAGCCATCTTCTGCCCAAACCTTCCTCCTGAGCTTCAAACAAATATGCAGCTCCCAGCCACTGATACCTCCACCTCAGATTTCATCTACAAAACCTCAGACATCTACACCCCATAACCTGCGACTCCGTCAGCCTCATCCTCAGTCTCAGCTGGTGGCCCCACCCCACCCCACCCCACCTCAGTCCTAGCTGGATGCCTGGTTTGACCTCCTTCAGCCTCACATGGGCTGAATCTCTTCCAATTCTGACCCCACGTCACCCCTGCCACCACCACCCTGGCCAGCTCCACCCCTATGTCAAACTCAGTGCTTCTTAAACTGTTTGTGACAAAGCAGGGTCTATACCCCCACTTTGGGCATCACTGCCCTAGACAAGTCCAAGGGCCTTAGAATTAGGCTCCTGGCTCCACTCTTGGTTCTCTTAAAGGACAGCCACCAGAGTGATGATTTTAAAATGAAAATCTGAGCAGGTCAATGTAGTAAGCACTCTCTCTAATAGTAATTCTCAACAGAGAACACTGTTAGTACAGGAAATAGGGGCCGCTCTTGTACCTGCTGCCAGGAGGACATCAAAGAAATCTCTCTCAAAGTGCAAGTTAAGCCTCCGAGAAAAGCCTGGGTCCTCAAGAGGACATACAGCTCCTCTAAGGTCAGGTCCCAAACTCACTGTCCAGACCAGCTGCCGACACTGCCCACCTCCCACTTTACACCCACCCAGGGTAGCAGGCAGGGCCCCTACACACCATGCTCCTGCTTCTCACCTGGCTGCCTCTACCTGGCTGTCCACCTAGAAACCCCTCCCCGACTTCCACCCCCTCCCAACCTACCTAGTACCAAATTCTTTATTTAATATTTTTTATTGTATTGTGGTAAGAACACTTAACATGAGCTCTCTCTTCTTAACATATTTTAGGTGTACAACAGAGGACTGGTGGCTGAAAGGGCAATTTCGTAATTCAGATCTCTGGAGCCAATCCATCTGACTTATCTGAAACTTTATGCATGTTCATAACTCCTCAATATCCCTTCTCCCACCACCCCTGGTAAAATCCTTCAGTCTTTGATTCTATGAATTTGACTACTTTAGACACCACATATAAGCAGAACCATGCAGTGCTTGTCTTTCTGTGTCTACACTTCCACTCTGCTTTAAAATTGCCCATTTATGGGCCTGTCTCTTCTCCTCGACAAGGACCATAGCTTACTGATCCTTGAACACCCAGTACTTTGCCCACAGTTGCTCTGTCAACACTGAATGAGTGAATGAGAGGTTCACAGATAAATTCCTCCATAAACTAGGCAAGTCCCTGAAGTGTAAATAATATCTTGATTTAGCAGAGATGTCAATTTGTCTGAGTCTCCACTCCTACTTTCCTCCGTTTGGTAAGTAGAACTCTAAGTTTGTCTGAGTCCAAGGCCCCCCAACTAGACGACCTTTCCCAGCCAACGTATGCCCACGTGATTATGTTCTGGACAACAGTATGTCAGGGGAAATGATGAGTACAACTGTAAAGTCACATCCTTAGAAGGAAGCTGCTTGCCCTCCACACAGTGAAATGCAGACGTACTGGTGGGGAGCCAGCTTCTACCATGCAGATGAGGAAACCCTAGCCCACCATAAAGTAATGAGATGGAAGACCCTGAAGCAGAGCTGCCTGTTTGGGAGCGGATGTAAATCTCCAACTTCCTTAAATCATTGTTATGGTGTCTGTGTGAATGAATTTTCTGGTTCTTTTCCATATTGTCTCTCAAAGATTCACTTAATCGTGAGATCATATTTTCCTAGCACCAACTCATCCCTGATTACTGAGTTTAGGCTAATTGCCACAGCCCAGCGAAGCTATGTGCCTTAATACTTGCTGGGATCCAACAGAGGGATTATTGGGGCTACTGGCTGCCCCTCTCCCCACAGCAGCTACCTTTGTCCACCCCGCTAGGGCCTCCGGGGAGCAAGAGAAAGATGCCCAGCCAGTCAAGGGACGGCATGTCTGCCTCTCTGATGAAATCAGAACAGGTTTACAGAAGAAAATCTTTAAAAGCTGGGTTTCCAGACAAAGAAGAATTTCAAACTCATCAAGCTGCTCCTAGCTCCAATCACCAAAAAAAGCAGGCAATTACTTCCTCCCCCTTAGAAGATGTGATGCTCTAAGCAGGGGAGCCAAGGACCTGCCCTTGCAAGGATATGGGGAGGCTGGATAAATTTTATATGTAAATCATTTCAAGATAAAGCACAGTAAACCTTAATCTTAGTGGTATCTCAGCCTTCAATATCACTAAGCTGCCTAATTTTTCCACTGCTATGTACAATCCTCTATTTCCCAGCCCCCACCAAGAAAAGGCTAGCAATCCATCAAATACACATCTCCTGTCAGAGTTCTTGCTGAGACAACCACAGGATGGTATTTATCTGCAGACAAACACTTGTGTCTTAAAGGCCACGGCAGTGTGGAATAGCAGGCTTGGAGGAATTTTTTTCGGTTAGCCAAAAAGGAAAGCACCGATATGGCAGCACAATTTTCCTCTCCATGATCCTTCTCAGAAAACACATTAGAAATCAAATCAAAATTTCAATTAATAATGTCCAATTAAAAAACAGATTAAGATACTCACAGAGCAAACATCACACTGAGGTTAATGAAAATGTTATTTCAACATGAAAACTGCCTTGAACTTGCTACCAAAATTGAACATTAATTATCTCTACTATTTTAAGACCTGCTTTAAAAAAGTTACTTCTTCTTTGTATCATACTTCATTACAAAAGCACAATAGTCCCACATAATCATATAACTCTCTTAAATTAAAAAAACATATAATAATTTAGACTATCATGCCATTTTGAACCATAAATAGTCAAAACTAAATAAAAAGAAAACAAGTCAGAAGAGTTATTCTCATCTAAATAAAACTGATTCTCTATAGACCAAGAGCTTCAGAAAACATAAACATATCAATAAATGAATAATTAGCAGACATCCTCCTAAGCCATTTCAACATACCTGGGTAAGATCTGCAGCTTGCTGTAAGATGCTTTTTCTTAACTCTTCTGCTCTCTTTGCATGAAAAGAATTACTTTGACTCTGGATAACAAACACAATTCCTTTTAAATCTAGAACCAAAAAAGGAAAAAAGTTTTCAGGTATTTATTTTTTGACAACTGAAATGAACCTGAAAACAAGTTAAAGAAAAAAAGAAAGAAAGAAAACCTGCTACAAGATAAGCCTTCAGGAAATAAACTCTTAGGGGAAAAAATCAATTTATATGTAATTCTAGTGATAAAATCTCTTTTGAAATTGATCTCCAAAACTTCTTTCCCAGAAGTTAGCAAGTAAATAAGCTCGCTGTGCTAGACCAAGTCTATGGTAACCAACTATGGATTTGTCCTGCCTCTGTCAAAAAGAATGACTGTAAACATAGGAAAGTGTGAAACTATCTAGAACACTATCCCTCTAAGAAGCTGAAAATCTTGTTTGCAAGTAACCTTTTAACAATTCACACATAATCCTTCACTGTTACCTGTTATGGGTTGAATTATGTCCCCAAACTTCTTAGACTGAAGTCCTAACCCCCAGGATCTCAGAATGTGACCTTATTTGGAACTGGGTCTTTGTAGAGGTCAAGTTAAAGTGTGGTCATTAGTGTGGGCCCTGATCCAGTATATCTGGTGTCCTTATAGAGAGAGAAAATGTGGGCACAGACACACAGAGAAAAGGTGATGTGAATAGGAAGACAGCCTATTACAAGACAAGGAGGGAGGGCCTGGGAGACACCAACCTTGCTGACACCTTCATTTTACACTTCTAGCCTCCAGAACCATGAGACAAAGTTCTGTTGTTTGAGCCACACAATTTGTGGCACAATTTCTGTAGCCCTAGCAAGCTAATACACTACAAGACTGTTCTGGATGGCCCTACAAGGTGACATTCAATGGTGACTGCTTATGTCCCATGAGTTTACAAATAAATAACTCAGTCACCCCAGCCGTACCTCACAAGGCATCCAGCCAGAACTGAGTATCTTCTCTAAGAAAACAGCCACAGTTCCATAGAAGCAGGGCTTTAGCAAGAACTGTTGCCTAAAAGCTCACCTATAACAACACTGGCCACACAGGCAGGATTTGTGAACCCCCTAAAGACTCACTGCAAGGTGGTTTTTCTACAATGGCAACAGGGCAGAACCCCTGGTATGATATGCCCCCCTGACCAGGGGGACTATCAGAGGTTGTCCTGAGCAGAGATGGTTGCTCAGGCCCCACTGCGGAGAAGCACATTAGCCTCCCCCTATTCTGAGCTTGTAATAAAGAAAGAAACAGAAACCACCATTGTGTCAGCACCCTGCCACCAGACAGGGGTCTTGGCAGAAGGCAGATGTCACATAAATTGTAGCCTCCAGCCAGATTTACAGCAAATGAATGTGGGGACCATCCCCCCTTTAATATCTGGACTTAGGGACACTAACTGGGTTTTAACTTTATTCCATTATATTTTGTTGTTCTAATGTTCAGTTCTATAATTCCATTCATTTATTCACTCACTCAAATATTCATACAACACTAAGCCATCTAGTTCCTCAAAATAATCCCAAATGCTCTTTGATTAAAACTCAAAGTTTTTAAAAGAAAATGCTGAACAACCTACTGAATGACCTCATTGCTCTCCAGCAGGAGTGTATATAAATATGAAGATCCTACATATTTATCTCTAACTCAGCTCTTGGCTCTGTGAATTGGACACTGAAGGGCTTACACGATGGCTTCTATTTCAACTAAAATGTAATCTTCCATCCACTACACCTGAAACATTAACAAAAAGTGACATATGAAAAGAGGAGTTATAAGGATTTACTTTTGAAAAGAATGAAGAAAAATTTCAAAGAATTTTTGCAAAATTTAATAAAGTTGAGGATGCACATTCCCCATGACCCAGAATTCTACTGCTATTCACCACATTGAGAACTCTCCAGCGTGTAAGCAGATCTGTAATGGGCATGCACCCAGCAGCATGTATAAAGGGTCTATAACGGGCACGTGCCTAGCCCCAGCAGCATGTGTAAAGGGGTCTATACAGGCATGTGCCCAGCAGTATATCTATATGGGCATGCACCCAGCAGCATCTGTAAAGGGTCTATAACAGACATGCACCCAGCAGCATGTGTAAAGGAGTCTATATGGGCATGTCCATGGCAGCACTGTGTAAAGGGGTCTATAAAGGGCATGTGCCCAGCAGCATATTGTGTAAAGGGGTCTATAATGGGCATGCAGCATGTGTAAGAGGAAAAAACTGGAACCAACTCACATATGCACTAACAAGACACACAAATCAGAAAACTATTCAATAACAAAAATTAACTAGCCCTAGGAACATCAACCCAGACGGATACTGTAGATGAACTGTACAGATGGAATACTGAAAAAAAGTAAGCTGCAAAGGAATAATTATATAAATCAATGGTTTACAAAAACATAAACGTATACATAAAGTGGATATGTGCTATATACTTTTGTATCTATACGTGTGTATATCTGATGTGAGAATGATAAACAGCGTATCTGGATAATGGTTCAAAGGTTTCCGCTGTGTTAGTAACTTTTTATTTCTTAAGCTAGGTGGTGGATCCATGGATGTTCATTACATTACTCTTTGTAGCTTTTTGTATGTTCAAAATAATTCATAATGAAATTTTTAAGAAAGCAGATCCATGTGTCAAAGGCTAAAGCTGCTCTCACCACAGTAACCAACTCCCGCCACTTCTGCCAGATCAGCAGAGCTCCTACTGTTCACAGCTCGTCCAATGCAAGGAGGCTTTATAAGAAGAAATATAAAACGTTTCCCCTTCACATATCTGGGTGATGTGCTATGAGTTGTATGTGTTTTTCCTGCTAAGAAATCATCCTCTTTCTGCCTGGCTGGGAGTGGCTCAACGGTTGAGCATCGACCTAGGATCCAAGCGATCAGGGGTTCGGTTCCCGGTCAGGGCACATGCCCAGGTTGAGGGCTGCAGCTGATCAATGACTCTCTCATCACTGGTGTTTCTATCTCTCTCTCTCCTTCTCCCTCTCCCTTCCTCTCTCTGAAATCAATAAAGATATATTTTAAAAAAAGAAAAAAAATCATCCTCTTTCTGTTCCATGTGCTTCAACCAAATGTGCTGTGTGCACTCATTCAGCAAACATCACTCAGTCTCTAGCAAGTGCAAGGATCTCGTACACAAAGGTGACCAAGTAGTCCCTCACATCAGCATAGTCTAGCGCACTGCTGGTGGGACTGCAAACTGGTGCAGCCACTATGGAAAACAGTAGGAAGGCTCCTACTAAAAACAGGACTACCATAGGACCCACTAATTCCACTTCTGGGTATTTATCTGAAGAAACACAAAACACTAATTTGAAAAGATTTATGCATCCTCATGTTTATTGCAGCATTGTTTATAATAGCCAAGATATGAAAACAACTCAGGTATCCATCAATAGACAAGTGGATAAAGAAAGATGTGGTACATATATACAATGGAATGTTACTCGGTCATAAAAAAGAATGAAATCTTACTATTTGTGACAGCATGGATGAACCTAGAGGGTATTATGCTAAATGAAATAAGTCAGTCAGAGAAAGAAAAATACCATGTGATTTTGCTTATATGTGGATTCTAAAAAACAAAACAAAACAAAAACAGACCTATAGAAACAGAGACCTAAGGGACAGTTGCCAGAGGGGAGAGGGGAGGGGGTGAGTAAAAAAGATAAAGGGAACATAGTAATACAGTGATAGTCTGCACTGTGACAGATGATTGCCAGAACCGGTGTGGGGTTCACACTGTAATTTATATAAATGTCAAATCACTATAGTGCACGCCTGAAAGTAATATAACATAACACTGTACGCTACCTATACTTAAATTTTAAAAATAAAAATAAATTTTAAAAAAAGAAAGCAGACCATCATACCACAAAAGCATAAGTGCAAAGCCAGAGCCTGCATGGGGCGCTGTGAGAACACAGAGGATGGGGAGCCAGTGCAAGGAGAGCTTCTGGGAGGAGGTATTTCCAGTTTCCTTTAAAAAGCAGCCATTTTCTGCAGGCTTAGGCTCCGGGGTTTGCAGATCAGCAGCAGAGAGAGAAGTGGGGTTATCACTGAGCCACAGCAGCCTTATCTCTGCAGCATCCCTGAGTGGGTGACCAGAGAGTATGTCAGGCATTTCTGAGGATAGGATGCAGAAATGATCAGTGATAAAGTTAGAGAGGGAGGCTGGCTCAGCCAGATCAGATCATGAAGGATGTATAGGCTTCACGCAGAGGCTGGGACCCCAGATTAATAGCTTTCCAACTGGGGACGGAGGAGAAACAATGGGACAGTGGGACCCAAACCTTCACTGCCCTCCCCTCTCTTCTCTGTATGCCCCTAGGACAGTGTCCTCATCTCTTCCTCTGGAAATTTAAGACACTCACAATTAGGTATGGATAAGAAACAGGATGCTTATGTGGGAGTTACAGGTAGTGAGGCAAAAAAGGAAGGGTGCTCCCATCCCTAAAACCCTGATAATAATGACACAAAATAGTCTCCATGCCATTCAGCAGAACAGAACCAGGCTAGTACAGTTTAGTGCTGAAAATAGCTTTTGTGCTTAAATTTCTGCTGTTCTTTATATCAGCACCAAGAAGTATTTTTTTGACACAGATCCTAAACCCTCCCTGAGTCACATGCTGGTGGTATCTAGATTGCAGGGGTCACCTCAGTAGTGTCTTCTCTGTTGATGCCTTCGACTGTGTGAGTATTAGCTCCCACTGCCCAGTCACTGGAGTTAACAAGAAAACTCTACTACTTCTTCCCACTTTGGCTGCACGTCTCTAAACTCAGTGCAATCTGCTTTCAGCAAACACTGCCACCACTCAAGATAGATTGTCATTGTTTCTCCTCTAGGAATGGGTGACAAACGGGTGGTACACTAAGTGCCTGACAATAATGATGAGTGTGACAAGAAGATAAAGAACTTAGTCAAGGATATGGAAAGGACCAATGTGGTTCTGCAGCCAGTGGAGAGCTGGGGAGTACTAAGTACAGGCAACAGAGCCAGAGACGCTTAGAAAGAGCCCCTGCAGAAGTAATTCTTCTATGAAGGTAGAAGAAATCAAAGGTCCTCTATTTCGGCAGGGGCTGAGCACCTGTCATGTACCAAACTCTCTACTAAGCACTGATCCTTCCTGATCAGAAATTATCTGGAAACATGGATTTCACAATGCTGGTGTTTTCCTGATGAGAAATCAATGTGGCTTCTTAGGATAAAAACTGGATAACAACCAGGATCATGATTTAGGGCACACATGCACTCATATGAAGAGCCACTCTCCAAATATGTGTCACTTGGTGAGAATACCGTCCCTAGTGAAGCTATGCCAGGGGTGGGGAACATTTTTTCTGCCAAGGGCCACTGGGATATTTTATAACATCATTTGCAGGCCATACAAAATTGATAAACTTAATAAATTAAGTTGATAAACTTAATAATTAGCTATGAAAAAAAGCTCCTAGATTTATTGAATTTCGAGTCCCTCCTGCGCTTGCCTTGGCAGGGCCAGACCAAGTGATTTCACCGACAGTATATACGGTGCAGGCTGGACGTTCCCCACCCCTGGATTAGGCAGTAAGTCAGAAGAGAAAAACAGACAGCCTGCCCTTGGAGACTGTCATCCAGCCCTGAGTACTGTGAGACCATGATCTAAGCACTCTGACTCTACTGGGCAGCTGCCTTAGTAGCCGCTGGTCCCATGAACTCACTGATTGTGGGCAACAAATCCCCTGGGTCCTTTTCAGATGATTAGATACCATGTATCACCAGAATAGCCATCAGCACTTGCAAGAATGTAGATTTCCAGTCCAGGTAACTTTCCCTTGGTCCTTTCAAGCCCATGTTCCCGACAATGGTCATTAGTCTATTTAATAACCATTTACTACATGGAGACCCATCAGCTCCCATGAAATATATATACAAACAAATGGCCAAACCCACAGGGTTGGCAGCAGAGGAGAAATCTCCACATGGAGAGGAGTGGCTGAACCACAAAGAATGTTTTCACAGAGAAGAAAAGTCAACAAAAGAATGTCACTCCTTAAGTAAGGCTGCTCCCAGAGCCCACAGACCCCCACCCATGCCCCTATGCTTCTCTGCATGCAGGGCCACCTCCCAACCCCTACCCAGGTAGCCTCTCCTGCCTTCTCGACTCCTTAGAATCTGGGACAGGGAAGGAAAGGCCTAGAAAGGAAGACATACCTTTTCCCTCCTGTCCTGGCCCACCTTCCAGGTCTCTGTGGCCCACCTGAGCGATGGACAGTGACAAAGTTCACACCCTCCAGGAAAAGACCAACCCCTAAACACAGAGGTGTGGCCTTACCCTCACCATCAACACTGGGGATGTGTTTCCCACAGAATACAAAAAAAATTCTCACTCATGGTCATATCCCTGAAGACATAATATGCTGGGGGAGAAAAAAGATGAGTTTAAAAGAGGTTGCAAATAAGCGTTTATATGGCTGTGACAGAAGTGTGGTGTGTTTGCCAAGGAGCAAGCCATCCCTTTCACACCAGGGATCAGGAGGAGTCAGACAGGAGACATGTCAGTGAGCAGACCTGGAGGGCAAGTGGGGTCTGTGGGTTCACAGTGGGGGACCTGGCTCCAGGCAGAGGAGGGCACCAGCAAAGGTCACAGTGTGTCCTTTTCTCCCACTAAGTGTGGGCCCCTAGTTACAGGGACGATGTCTTATTCACCTGGCAGGGTAATCTGCCTTTATTGGAAACTCAACAATATTTACACAATAAATAAAATAAGAAAGAAAAATGAATTTCACTGAAACATAATTTACAAGAAATACACCTGGGTACATACTCTTAAGTTTAAAAAAAAATCATTACATACCTATGTCATTTTTCCTTGATATACCACTTTTCTCCAAATTCTGTATTTTTAAAAAAAGAGAAAAAGATAAATCTCATCACATAACAAAGTTAACAATAATACACTGAATGAATACATATGCTACACATTCACATTTGGGGTGAAGAAACTGAAGATGAGAGCTTGGAAATGCTTCTCTACAAACACAGACCAGTATTAAGGGAGAAAAGCAACAACGATGTCCATGGCAGAAGCCTCCTAGGGGGCTGTCCCTTTCACACGTGATCTTGGGCAGTCATGTCACTGGGTTGAGTCTCTTCCTCCTGTTTAACATGGAGCTAACACTTAACGGGTTCAATGTCCTGGGAGGGTTAATTCAAAAACCTTGTGATAACCTAAAAATAAAAAGCTTTTCAAAGTGAGAGTCAACAGCGTTTGTTTGAGATCAATAAGAACAGCTACTTGGGAAGCACTAACTTAGGGAGAAGCCCACAATTAGGAGACAATGGGGAGGGGTACTTATGAGAAAGGGAAGGGGAAGAATTACGTCCATGAAAGGAAGGCATTTCTATTGGTGCAGATAAGCTAACAGTGATGTTAATTCTAAACAATATTTTTAATTTTCAGTCTAGTAGCCATCATAACTGCTTCCTAGTTATCTCTGCAGACAGTTGTTTGGGATACAGTGCTGCCTTAGGAACAATCTAAAGGCTACTTGGACAAGTTTTAACATTCTAAAGATTTAAGGCATAAAACCTGCAAAGCAGTTCTTCTGCGGTGGCAGCTCCGGCTCCAATTTTAAAGTGGTTCCATTTCTTTTTCTTTTTTTTTTTTTTTAACACTTGCAAACTCTTAGCACTACAAACATATCACAGATAGTATCAGTTCTGGCAGTGTGTTCCCTGCGAAGATGAACATTGTCTGGGCTTAGATGTACGATCAAGAATGGTACCAGGTTCTCTCCTACCTGAGAAGCTACACTGGACCCTGGAGGTGGTCAATCTGTGGTTTGTGAGAATTCATGGGCATAGAAGGGGCATCTGACAGCTGCAGAGCCCCTGACAGAAACCTGGATGTGGGCACAGAAACACCTGACCCTGATCCTAGAAAATCAGGAGAAGCTCTGAAAAGATTTCTCTGACAAAGTGCCAGTGTCAGCAGCTACACCTGCCATTTCCATTGTTTCCTCCAGCAGACAAGGAATTTTCTTTCTTAATTGTCCTTTTCTGCTTTCAACCACCATATTCTATAATTATGACAACTGGACAGTGGTGAGTATCATTCCATTTTCTTCACAGACAGCAACAAGAAATAACCTACAAAACTGGAAGCAGCTTAAAAGCTAAATACACAGAAATGAATCCTCTTAGAGTGCCAAAGGGATCATGACAATAGACATGGAGGAGAGAACAAAATACAGGGGAATGTCTATCTTCAATAGTATTTTCTGGAATTATCTTCGTCTCAAGAACAGAAATACCACAGAGATGAGCACAACCCCACAGTCATGTATTCATTTGTTATACCTGATGATCAAGTGACACTTTACTTACCCCTGAACATACTTTTTGGAAGAGCCAAAAAAAAAAAAAAAAAAAAAGAGAGAGAGAGACTAGAAAGCTCAACCTACTTCTGTAAGTATGTGAACCAAAGCCAGGTACCAACATAAGTTAGCATGTGTGGACTGGCTATTTGCTGTGTCTTTCATACTCTAAATGCCACTTGTGGCCAGAACAGCCTGCTCTCAGAGAGGAATTAACAAAAATAATAACAATAATAATAAAGTGGAACCGGAGCTGCCATCCCAGAGGAACTGCCTCGCACAGCCATGCCTCAAAGCTTGGAATGTTAAAATGGCAAAATAACCTTTGGACTGGCCTAAAGCAACATTATGTTCCCAAAAAAATGTTTGCAAAGATAACAAGAAAGCAGATCTGGACTGATAGCTACAGGACTGAAACTTAAAAACATTCTTTAGAATTAACATCACTATGCTAGCTTATCTGCACCAATAGAAATGCCTTACTTCTACTAATGTAATTGTTCCCCTTCCTCTTCTTGTAAATACCCATTGCCTTTGTCTCCTGATCAGAACATTATTTGGGTTTCTGCCTAAATCAGTGCTTCCCCAACAGCTTATTCTTTTGGATTTCAAACAAATGCTTGTTGCCTCTTACTTTGCCTTTTATTTTTAGGTTAACATATCAATAAGCCAGTAACAAAAAGACAAACACTGTAGGATTCTGCTTATAGAGGCACCCAGAATAGTCAAATCAATAGAAACAGGAAGTAAAATGCTGGTTGCCAGGGGCTGGGGGAAGTGGAATGGGGAGTTATTGTGTAATGGGGCAGTTTCAGTTCTGCAAGATGAAAAGAGTTCTGTAGACTGCTTGTACAATAATATACATGCACTTAACAGTACTGAACTATAAACTTAAAATTGCTTAAGATGGTAAATTTTATGTTATATGTATTTTGCTACAATTTTTAAAAAACAGCATTGAAGATGATCCAACCCAACATTCCCCTTTTACAAATGAGATAATGGAGACTCAGAAAAGATGAAGGATTTGCCATTGTCCGATAGTCATTCTAGCCAAAGAACTACAATGAAAACCCAGGTCTTTTGATTCCTTTCTAATATTCCTTTCTTACACCCCCTCCCCACCATGAAAAATGCACATCCAGCTTTCCTCCAGAGGCATTCTTCAGAAAACACGCACATTAGATACAGATAGATTTAGAGAGTAAGCTAAAAATAATACCTACAACTGAGGTAGGAGAGTAAGAAGCTAGAAAAATTCCTTGGCAAGCAGAATGAGGAAACTGAGACAGCTAGATGAACAAACTGGCTGAGCAATTTAAGGTCTCCAGAGCCGGAAGCCCTGGGTGCCTAGCAACAAGCAAAACTGGCACCTCGTCTCCAGGGTGGCCTTTTCTCCTTTGACATATCACTGGTCATGAGGTTTAGGTTTAGATCCTCTGACCTTTCCTCCCTAGAGTCAATGTCTAGGCTTCAGTTGTATTTCAGTTCCAGGCCCAGAAAAGCAGCAAAACCAGGTAGGTGACACCAGGACCAGCTGCAATGACTAATGGCCCTCTGCCCTGACACTGACCAATAAGTGGAAATCAGGACCCTGAAAAGGTACACCTGGAAAAGCTGATGAATATTCTATTGAGACCCTCCCAGTCTAAAATCCTCAAAACAAAAAAACCAATGCTCCTTCTCCCTCCAGGGAAGCATGCCTGGCACCTTCCCCTTCCCCCTCTTCTTCCCCTATAGGCATGCATCTCATAAATTCTAAGGGATCCGTCAAGACTTGCAACCAGGGGAGAAATGGGCAGCAGCAGTTCATGTGGGGCTAACCCCCTGAACCTGTCTCCATGGCCCTCTTTTCTCTGACTTTTCAGTGAGCGAAAGCAGCCCTGCCTAGGCTCATTTCTTTCCTATATTTCTAGAGAGCCAAAGCAGCCCCACCTAGGTTCTCTCCTGTTGCTTTCTATCCTAAGTCCTTCCTTGTTTCACTGTCCCCAGCTTTAATAAACATACTCTCAAAATCACCTGGACCCGTGTTGTGAAATCTTTCCTGTACAAAATCAAGAACCCACACACTACTGGCCAGCCCTAAGCTGACCTGCTAAAGGCCAGGTCCCCTTTCCAGTAACACAACAACAGTCATCTTCATCAACAAGTTGAAAGTAAAACAGCATTCTGAACTCAGTGTTTCTAGACTTAGTAACCTAAACAAGCTGGAATCCCACTGGACATTCTCTCACCAGAGATCTTTGTGAAACAAAAGAAGAGCAACCAAAATTATAGCTCTTTCTCTTTGTAATCGAGCACTGTTGTGCCGACTAGCTGACACAACAGCTAGGAAATGATTAGCCATTTCCAGTGGCTCAATTTGTAAACAGTAAAAATAAAATATCCAAGAAACGGCTGGATTAGGCGAACTGAAAAGGAACCAAAACAGTCTTGAGTAAGTTCTCCTTTGAGAAAGAAAATTAGAGTAAATAAAGTAATTAACAGAACATTCAAAATTCTGTCTCCAGTTTCCCTCGTGAAAAAGGCTTAGTTCTTCCCAAGAAAGAAGATACACACGGTTTGTTTTATTATCTCTGCTGCCATATGTTTCTTCCACTGACTATCAGTATCAGTCCAAATGTACTCACTGCCAACGTTTCATAAGCCAACTGAATTGCTACTTAGATCAGAAAGAGGTCTGTTCCTAACACCTCTACCCCACAGACAGTTCCTACTCTCGATGGAAGACTAATCCAAAGTCCCCTTTGTCCAGTTTTATTTTTTAAGGCACCACAAATTTGAACACTTGGAATCCATCTAGTTTATAAATTCTTCATTAAAAGAAAATAAGACATCCTCCAAAGAATGTAGTATGAAATATTTTAAGAAGGTAGAAGAATAAAGTGGCATCTTCTACCCATTCACCAACAGCTACCACCTACCCTGAGATTCTGAGTAAAATGAATTAAGCAGGACACGTTTATCAGAGCCCTCCATTGTAGGTGGGCCTGTGTTCTTTCTGCCTTCACCATTCACTAGCTCAGGCCTCAGTCTCTCATCTGTAAAACAGGAACCATAATTACAAGACCTGCTTCACTATGTTTAATTAGGTCATATAATGCTAAGCATAATGTCTGCCCAACGCAAATGCTCAATAACTGTTAGCTCCCCCTCTTTCTATTATCATCACCTCCTCATGTAATGTCAACTACCACTGTAAAAGAAATTCACTAATAAAAGCAGTAAGGTCCATGGTTCCTCATTTTTTTTATTCGTTTAGGTTCCTCCTGAAAGGCTATATACGGCATTTCTTGCTGTCATCTCAGGTAAACATTTAAATAGGGCCTGGCACTGTTCTACATGGTGCGTGCACACACACACACACACACAATCTTCAAAACAGCTTTTTGAGATAGGCTCTATTATCTGGTCTTACTGAGAATGCTGAGGCACAGAGAGGTTTGGTAAGTTCCATAGCAGGTCAGTGTTGGAGAAGGGATGTGACCCACAGCAGTGTGGCTTCAGTGTTCAGCTCTAACTCCTTGTCATATGGGACACAATGTCACAAATCACCATAGGATGTAAGCCAGGCCAAACAGGTACATGGCCATGGCTGAGGCAAGTACCCAGGGCATGGAGCACGAGCTTGGAGGGTAGGCTCCCTGAAAGTAGGCAGGTCAGAACCCAGGACAGTGCAGAGACGGGGAGCCCAGAAGAGAGGCCTGGGCCTAGTGGTGGGGCCCCAGGACCACAAGGCACTGGAAACACTCAGGATTTTCATGTGAAGCCACCTGACACTAGCTAGTAAACCTGAACCATGTTTGAGAAAGGCCTTCAGCCCTGTGTCAGGCTGGCCTGTGTTCTGGGGCATGTCACCAAGTGAGCAGTGAGGAGAGGGACACACAGGAGGCTACTTCTAAGCAGCAATGACAGGGCAGATAAACTAATGAGAACCCCAAATTAACATGGTTATTGTTAAGAGCCCTAACTCCTGTTTCCGAGCCATCTACAGACTTTGGATGACCTTGGACAAGATGATTCTTTTCTGTCTCCCAGTCTTGGGTACAGTCTACAGGAGACATTTTATCATTGCCTCTCCTCGTGGAATTAATGGCTTTTTTGGCTCTGTGGCCTAAGCACAAATGAGATTAATGACATTTTTCAAGGGCTTTAATACCTTTTCATGAAAAATGACACTAAGATAGAGGACTCCCTCTATATTTATATTTACATATGTATTTAAAGCAAAGGATACATATATTCCTTCATTTGAAAAGATTAGGTAAAGCCTGTATTTGAAAGTATGTGCTATAATCCTAAATTTATTACTTAAAATTTTAGTTCCCTATTAATAAACCTTGGGTAGCACTTTAAATTTATTATAGCCCTAGTTGGTTTGGCTCAGTGGTTAAGAGCGCCAGTCCCCCCACCCCCCATTGAACTGAAGGGTCTTGAGTTCAATTCCAGCCAAGGGCACATACCTCAGTTGCAGGCTCGATCCCCGGCCCCAGTTGGGGCTCACAGGAGAAGCAACCACTTGATGTGTCTCTCTCACATTGATGTTTCTCTCACTCTCTCTCTCACTCTCTCTCTCTCTCTTTCTCCCTTCCACTCTCTCTAAAAAGCAATGGAAAAAATATCTTTGGGTGAATATATAAAAAAAAAAGTTAATTATAAATGAGCCTTGTTATTGACAAAGACACACACATACACATTTTATAGTAAACGTGGCTGCATAATATAAACTCACAGTGTGAAAAACTCAAGGATTCAGAAAATTTCACCTTTTAATAGTCATGTGACCTCTAGAACCAGTAGAACCACTTAACTTCTCTGAGGGTAAATTTTCTCAGCTTTACATAGGAATAGCTGTTTTGCTGAGCAGTAACAGGATCACTGAGAAGATTAAATTAAATGAAATGTCTGAAAATGTTTAATTAACCATAAAGGATCTTAAAACCTTAAGGAATTATTATTATTATTTCCAGTGTAGGAACCCCATAGTATAGTCAGAACAGATAAAAGAAACAGTCTATTTAAAAATGCTTTTATTCTAACTGTGGGGCAAAAAAATAGTCAACTGACCCTTAATATAACAAAAACAACTCATATTTGAAAATATTGTTTCTTCTATGCTAAACTACTCTTGTACAAAGCCTGCATGGTAAAATTTAGATGAGGTCTAGAACGAAACCAATAATGAAATGATGACAAAGCAGCAGCTCAGAGATTTGAGTGAGTGCTGTCCCCTCTCCACTGGGGCCCCAGGTCTCATTTTCTGGTTCTGACTGTGTGCAGAGTCTGGGTCTCTCAGCCAGTCCCACCATGCCCTCTCATGGTGCCACCTTGAAAGTGAGGGACACTTAGGCTCTTGTGACCCAGGAAACACAGCACAATCCTTTCACAGACTGGGAAAATTAAACCCAAGGTTAAGATGTGGCACAACTGGAAAAAACTATTGTACCCAAGCAAGATTCTAAAATGTCTAACTTCACATCACAACATCTTCTCCTTACAGTGAAATCTGAGACCTAGGGGATATGCTGTAACTACTGAAAGGTGTATTTAAACGCCAGCCTATCTGTTGGGTGCTGCTAGAGATTCAAAATCTATGTTGACCAACATTTCATAAATTCATAAAAAAAAGAAACTTGATAACCACTGAGAGAGGAAATCATGTCAGCTCCCATTAAAGAAATCACAAATGAACCTCAGATGGGAGGAACAGATTTGGTCATTGGAATCAGTACCTTAGATGGCGTCACCTCCTTCTTTACACCTTTAGAAGCCAATGCAAAAGCTGGAAAAAAAAAGAAACATTTTTATATTAAAATTAGCCATTAAGATTTATTCTCACATTGAACAGTTTTGCTTAAAATGAGAAAAAATAATGATACAAGACATATTTTGCTCATTTTTAAAAGCAGCTGCATTGCCACAAACTAGTACCACTGGCTGCCTTCATCTCCAGACCTAAAATTATTTATCAGCGAAAGCCAAAACTCTTAGGCTACCAAGCTAAAGAAATACCTCATCAGAGAAGATAGAATCTGTTTATACCATTGATGTCTATAGATATAAACCACAAAATAGATGCACACAGAATACAACTTCTTTGAAATTTCAATTCTGGTGCCATATGGTAAACAAAAAAACTTTCACGGCCAAAAGCTCTTCTGGAAAAAAAAGGCGTTTATTGAGCCACATGCTGGCTAGAAAAGGACCAGGCCCTGGGGCGTGCAGTCTAAGCCACAGCAGCAGGACAACATATGATAAGACAACATATCTGCCACTGTCTTGGAGCTGAGAGGAGTTTTTATTTATTATGTTTTGGGGAAGAAAGATGTAAGTTGTTTTGAAAGAATTTACACTGGCTACAGATAGGGGGGTGGAAAAGGTGAAGGGGCCAGTTCTAGGATAGGTGAACAGCCTGTAAGGAAGAAATATTTACTTCTTTTGATTGGTGGTGAGCAACGGTCCTGAAAGTTCCTGATAAGCAGGATACAGTGGTTTTCTGCTGGGCGCTAATAGAGCCTGGAGGTGGATTCAAAGCTCCAACATACATTCAGGAAGGTGAGCAGTCACTGTTAGTTGGCCCACAGCTATTAAATGTTCAAATATTCTCATCTCTTTCTCTTACTCACTTGCCACTGTAATTTAATTTAGGACACCTCAGCTATTTTTCGTGTCACTTCTTAAGCAAAGGGGAATTCCTGAGCATCTGGAGAGAAGAAGTACAAATCCATACTCACAACCAGGGTCAGAGCCTGGCGGCAACAGGGCTAAATCCAGCACCAGCTTTCTATCTCAGGGATAGAGGGGGGGAAGTGTGGTGCAGACGCTGCTGCCACAAGAGGACACTTAAGGGAACCCTACTGAAGCCGTGGGGCCAGGGGAATGGAAGGAATTAAAATAACTTCCCATTTAGAGCAATTTAATGTTTTGAGTCAGAGCCCATAAATAAAGATATCCCTAGAGAAACGTCTAGGCTCTATGTTAAAAGTAATAGTAATAATAATATGACAATAACACTTTGAAAATGTAAAGCAAAATAATAAACCAAACAGGAAGGTGAACTGGGCAAAAAATAATCCTAATTTTACAGTGCATTTCTCAAACGTTTGCTTTCTCCAATTAGCATTTCCAGGAAAAACAGGCAATGCCATGAAGCATGAATGTACTTCAAGGGTAGAACAGGCAATTCCATGGAGCAGTAATGCAGCACAAGGCATGTGGGTGGTGGGGCTCCCAGGTGACAGAAGTAGAGAGGACCTCACCCATTTGGGTAATTCCCAGCCCCATCCCCAGACATCACTGCCTCCAACTCTCTCCATTAACATTTGCTCAAGGGAAATAATCTAAAACATAGTCACACTAAGAAGCCAATCACTAAGGTGGTTTGATCATTTCCATTTCCAGATGACATTTCAAAAGGCAGAATGAAATTGTAATGTAAGTGAAATGAACCTCTACATGTGGAATTTAGATAACAGCAGATATTATAGGAAGCCTCCTTGAGACCACCTCTTATAAATAGCAAATCCCCAACTCCATCCCCCCATTGGTTTTTCTACAGAGCACATACTACCACTGACATAATATATATTTATTTGTTTATTGCTTGTTTTATATATTAGTTCACTGTAAGCTCCATGAAGGCAGGAATGTGGTTTTATTTACTGTTTGCCCATAAACCTAGAACACAGACAGCACATAAAAGATCAATAAATATGTAACGAGTGATAAATATGAATGAATGAACGAACGAATGAATGAATGAATGAGTGAATGAAAGTCTCCATGAGAGCCCTGGGGTCACATCACTTAGTGGCTGTGGGGTCACACACTAGGCAACACCAAGCCAGTAGAATGAAACCGTTCAGTGCCCCCACCTTAATTTATTTTCACTAGGATCTGACCTACTTTCTTGCTTTTACACACACACACAACACACAGCCCAAATCACTCATTAAGTTCTAAGAAGAAAGGAGAGATTTAACACCAAACACCTTTTAACCGTTTATATTTTGTTTCTAGGTGTTTAATTTTTTTGGAGGGGGAGGGGTGATATGGGTTTATTTATCTCCAACCTACCATGCACATTTACAACCCTCAAGAAGAATCAAATATAAAATTATTAATAAACATCATTCAGAAAGGTCATCACATGTTAACCTCACTCAGCACCACAGAATTTTAGAAAATACGATATTCTGACAACTTGCAGGCTATAAAAACTGTGGTCAATCTAATACATGACTTTGATGGCAAAATACACATCCGCCAACCCCATCAATTCCTAATGCCAAACATGGACAGTCAAAGCTCTCTGGGTTAGAGTTAACTTTTCTATTAAGAAAAATAACCTCAACTGAACATGTGCAGTGACTTGTCCTCTAATAACCAGAACTTAGTCTTATGTCACTGTTTGCAAGTACAGATGGCTATGTCAACACAGAAGCCCCTGGACCTTTAGAAAGTAGACTCGCTACTGAAGAAAAAGTGTCTTTATTTGGTGGTGCTAGTTCTGAAAATGATTAATACATCACCTTTCATAAATAAGCAGCTACTATTATTTGATGATGTTACTGTTTCAAATAAGAATTACATAAAGAGCAGATATTCCCAATAAATCAAGTGAATTCCACAAATCCTGCCTGTCATATTCAAGACCCCATGCCTTTATTCAGACAAGGCCGAGGAGAAGGCAAATGTTTTCATTCTCTCCAAAAATACACAGGCCTACAGTTAAATATTCTTTTTTTAAAAAAAATATGTCTTTATTGATTTGAGAGAGAGGAAGGGAGAGGGAGAGAGAGAGATAGAAACATTAATGATGAGTCATTGATTGGCTGCCTCCTGCATGCCCCCTACTGGGAGTCAAGCCTGAAACCTGGGCATATGCCCTGACTGGGAATCGAACCTTGATCTCCTGGATCCTAGGTCGATGCTCAGCCGCTGAGCCGTGCCAGCCGGGCCAGTTAAATATTCTTTAAAAAAAATGAAACATTATTTCTCCCCATCACTCTGCTGTGAAATTAAGAATGCTTCCCCTGACAGAAATAAATCACATAATATTTAAAGTAATGCCATAAGAAACACATCAGAGTACTTTCAGGCATAAGATCAAATCACATGGCAAAGATCATCCCCATTAGATGAATGAATATAAAGAAAATACTAGCTGGTTTTATCTTTGCTTCCATAATCTAAATAAAACAAAGAACTCATCAAAGAACCAAATGCATTTGGAAGACACAGAATATACTATACCATTATTAAACCCAGTTTTAAGATAATGAATCATTTATAGAATTCCTACACGAAATCTATAGCTGGAGGAAATGAAGGAGAAACACAGAGGAGGAAAGTGAGAGAAAGTAGCAAGCGAGATAAGAAATCACCTGGCACCTTGGACAACTCAAACAAGAGCTCAGGGTGGCAGTTTACCACCCTCTGCCTGGAGTGGGGGGAGCAAGAGGAGGAAAGTGCCCAGACCCCAGCAAAGAGAGGGGCTCCCTGGGGGCTACAAGTGTGTGTGCGTTTGTGTGTGCATGCTCATGCGTGCACACGATGTTTGGCCTCCCACAAATTTATACATTCAGTGGGGAAAAAATATGCTGGAAAGCTTGGCCTGAAGGCCCAGTATGGTAGGAGAAATACTGCAAGGTAACTCATGCTTTTATATGTCAAACTGCTGTTTAAAAGTAATTTTCCTTTTTCAACTTTTGACATGAATTTCTGTGAACTACTACAGGGAACTATATGTAAAGTGCAAATCAGGTCAGGCAATAGAAATAACACCCTTTTTGTGATAATTTTAAATAATTCAAGCCATCAAATGTGTTACCACACACATCCTGAGAAATCAATCAAGATTTTACAACGATCCTGGGACAAAGATTTATGGGCCCCTCTAAGCCCTGGAGTGCAAGAAAACTGGAGAGGAATTAATTGCATTGCATTTAACCAACACTAATCAACTATCTTTTCTTGTTCCTTGGAAGGAGCACAGGACCCCATGCCCATGCAGGAAAGACGAGTGTACCTCCCAACTTCTCCCTCTGTCGTGTTCCTGTTCCCTGATCTGCCCTCCCAAATTCTCCCAGTAATGTCTATCACATGAAACAAATGAAATACAAAAAAACCCCCACAAAACTACCTCCAGGGGTGCTGCCGGGATTAAGTGAGTTAAGGAGGGCTGGGCATGAATGACAAGCCCAGTGGGTAATTATGGCCTTGCTGCTGGTGGCGAGTACAGTCCCACACTTTCAGTTTGGGCCATGTCTAGGTGTGTGCCTAGCACATGAGCCAAGAGAGGGAAGTAAACCACGTGCTCCCGGCTCTGCCATCAGGACCCACTCATAGCACATGCCTGGAAGCTGGCAGCAGGTGCCCCCACAGGGCTAAGGGTCACACACTTGACACACTGTGGGAGGCATCCTTTGGGGCTTCACTTTCTTTCCTGTGACCTACTTACAAAACATCTTACCCAGCACAGCTCTGCCCCAGTAACTCTGTTCCCTGGAGCTTTACAGGTTCTCTGGAAGGGGGTCTTAAACTCTAGGATGCAGAGCCCACAGCCAATTTATTTGGTTCCAATTACCTGCTCTGAAGATAATCCATGGCAGGAGAGGGAGCAGAAACAAACAAACTCTGGCTCAGCCTGCCCTTTCTTCATTCTCAAAAAATCCACTGTCCCAGAACTTGTGGATGCGCTGGGTAGCAGCTCCATCTACCCATGCCCAAGCACAGGGTGGAGTGCCCTGTCACTCTTCATGGGCTGGGGGCAGAACCACG